TAAATATAGCAATAGTTTTAACACCCAAAATATATTCAGGCCTGTTTAGAACCCACCCTAAAATTTTTTACCCTGTCACATCGAACGTTTGAACACCTACATAAAATATTAAATATAAGCTAAAAAAATAATTAATTGCACAGATTACGACTAATTTATGAGAGGAATATTTTAAGCCTAATTGCTCCATGATTTGACAATATGGTGCTACAGTAAATATTTGCTAATAACGGATTAATTAGGCTTAATAAATTTGTCTTGCTGTTTACTGACGGATTCTGTAATTAGTTTTTTTATTAGTGCCCGAACACCCCATGCGACACCCTGTATAATATCCGATGTGACACGCCAAAACTTTACACCCATGGATCTAAACACCCCCTCAATGGTGGTGATGTAAACTACATTTTTCTATTAACATGGTCAAAATCGAAATACTTTGACTTAGAAAAAAAATACCATATACTAAAACAGATGGATTATCTTGGCTTCTAATTTTTATTAGCTTCTAACATGCTATTAAATAAAGTATCCAGTGGTTTTTATTGCACGACAAACTTCTTGGTGTCCCAAATTGAAAGTCGGCCTTTAAAAACCCTAAAACAACGAGATAACTATTTAACAAATTTTAAGTAAAATTATATATAGAAAAAAAATAATTTTATATGGGTGGTAGCCGCGTAATTGTGCGGGTCACCCAGCTAGTTAGGAATTAAAATAAGGAATATTGGAAGAAGAGTATAGAGTCCATATAGGAATTTAAAATTAATTAAAATTCTGAATAAAAATAATAAAATTAAAAGGTAGAGTTTAGAGTCCATATAGAAAATACAATTTACAAATAACTCAACTTAGAAACTAAAAAAATGAATATTGGAACAATAGTCTGGAGTCCATATAGGAATACAATTTAGAAGTAACTGAAATTCCATATTAAAAAATAAATAATATTGAAAGATGAGTTTAGAGTCCATATAGAAATACAATTAGAAATAATAAAAAATCAAAATTAATAATAATCAATTTATAAATAACGAAAATTCGGCATTGAAAAATAAGAAATATTGGAAGAGAATTATAGAGTTCATATAAGAGTATAATTTAGAAATAACTGAAATTTTGAATTTAAAATAAGAAATATAAGAATAAAATTTATAAATAATATAAATTCATAATTGAAAAATAAAAAATGTTGGAAGAGGAGTCCAGAGTCCATATAGAAATATAATTTAGAAATAACTAAAATTCGGTATTAAAAATAGTTAATAACTATCATATTTATATAAGACAGTATGAATATTACACAATCTAGTTAAGTTAGAATAAAATTTAAATTATGCTGTTATTTTATGATATTTTCATGATAAAATAAATAAATATATATGCTATTATTTGAGAGACAACATAAGGATGTTAGCCGGTAGCCGCGCAATTTGCGCGGGCCACCAAGCTAGTTATAATTATAGCATAAAAGATATTAAAATATGTCTACTTGCTACTAATTGTTTTTATTATTTTTCTTGAAATATTGGATATCAACATGGTTAAGTTACCTGTTTCCTACCCTAATAAAAGTAACATATTTCCAATTCAACATGTCACACATCGTATTTATTAGAACATTACTCCCTCCATCAACTTTTGATAGTCATATTTCTAAATCTGAAAAATTTATTTTTGATAGGCATATTTTAATCCAACAACCTATCATCTTAATGACTTTCTCGAATTTGATGGGTGACTCTCCATTCTTCCACACAAGATTGGCTACATGGTCATCGAGAAATGTAAATATTAATGAATCGCTTGTTTACGAGGAATGACCAGTAGCATGTTTAAATAGATGATAAGTAGAATTACTTATCCTTAGTCTATGTGCCAAGATGAAATATAACTATCAAAAGTAGATGTAGTGAGTAATTTTTACTAACTTTATTAAAATAGCAAAAAAAATGAAGAATTAGAAGAAAAATACTTCTAGCACTTTCTATGTTTGTATGTACTTCACATTCCTTTATTATATTAAATTTTAATAATTATATATATATTAAGATAATATAACGATGTTAATAATCCAGCCAAGTCTATTTTTTTTTTACGGAGGGAGTATGTACTTGTGTTGATTTTCGTAAATCTGTAGCAGACCGTATTTTCTATTTTTAGTGCATCATCAATAACTACAAAGTTATACGGATTTAACACTATGAGTTCTTATGGGAATTTATTTATTTTTAATGCATCATTAAATCTGTTTTTATTTATCGTTGGGAGCTGGGAGCTATCCAAACACCTTTACCGCTACAACAGCATCCTGACACTAACAAGAAGTAAGGGAGGTACGGGTTCGCATTCCCTGTCTTTGGACACAACGGCAAACTTTGCCGTTCCTCAAATCATAAACATCCATTCCATGTTTACGGTCGGATTTTGCTAGACTTCCCAATTAAGAAATTGCTTTTCTCCAACGTAACCTAACGTAATGCCTTCCCAATTAAGAAACCGCTTTTATTCTCCATCGCAATACATCGTTTGATTAAACGCTTGTTGTTTCCTTTTGATATCATACTCATGTTGTTCATTTGTTCCATGTCCACTGGGAAAAAGAATCCCTAATGATCTGTATTGTGGATAATAAATCTTGAAGTTGCATGTGCTAGATTGCTAGTATTTCCTATTCGTCTATTCGTGATGGTCATGCAACAAAATGAAACTACAGTGGGCCACAACCATGACGATGTCTTTCGTTTGAGATGTATGTTGGGCCAGCAAAATCCGACCGTAAATATGGAATGGACGCTTGTGATTTGAGTAACGGCAAAGTTTGCCGTTGTGCCCAAAGGCAGGGGATGCGAACCCGGGAGGTACAGGGGTCCTCTGTTCCCCGTTTGGTTCTATGGTAGCAGTGACCGGTAATAGTCGCGATCTCCAACTCACAGAAACTGGCCTCGGATCGTTCCTGACCCTGAGGAACGTGATAACGAGAGGCTCTGTTAGGCAGTTATGAGCTATGAACACCAATGGTAAGGCATGCTCCTATATGGACTATAGTAAGGCATGCGTACTGTGTGTGTAAGGTGTACTGGTTCGCCGGACCCTGAGGACGGTGGTAGCTATTTTGTTGAATTCGAGGATCTGTAAACTATCGATCTGAACCTTTGCATGCAGTATGGTGGTAGCTATTTTGTTGATTTCGAGAGTCTGTAAATTATTTTGTGGTGTTAACCCCTGGTATGCTTTGAAGATGCTTCCCTCTGGGCTTTCAGATTTCGCACAAATCACAGAAATATAATCGCTAGATGGAAGAACCTATTCTTTTCTCCAACCCCGCTTTAACCCCTGAATGTCTGTAAATTTTAAACTTTTGCAGGGGGCTACAAAGGGGTGTGCTGCAATAATATCAGAATTATCAACCAAAAAAACTCATATCAAACACCACAAACATCAGAATTACCGAATACTAGATATCTTAAAGGTGTCATTCTTAAAGCTAACGATCTCAGATTTATTGATATGTTTCGAATATTCGATCATCTTACCCTAAATAACAAAATTAGTAAAACAAAAACCAGTTACAATAGATTGTGACTAATTACATAACATCTGTCTATGAAAAATGTGGCAGCATCTAGCCGGTGCGGCAGCGTTTAGAGGAGGGGTCGGAGACCGGCTTGGCACAGAGAGGCGCAGCCGATGACAGCGGAGGCCGGCCCGGCGCGAGAGGCGCGGGCGGTGGAGATGGAGGCCGGCTTGGCGCGAGAGGCGCGGCCGATGGAGAGAGGCCAGATTGGCACGAGAGGCGCGACCGGTGGAGGAGTCGGCTTGGCGCGAGAGGCGTGGCCGGCAGTGGAGGAGGCGACCTCGGTGCGAGGTGGAGCTGCTGGTGGGTATGGCGTGGACTTCGGCGCACGTAGGCTGGCTGGCGGGGGCGCCGGTGCAGGGGTCCCACATGTCGGCAGAGGTTGAGTGGTGGTGGAGCATCGGTGCATCAGCCGTGGATTCGCAGGTGGTGAGCGGCGGGTGAAAACCCAGCCCGGCCTTGGCCGGACCGACAATGATATATCATTCCCCCTCCTAAGGGCGTTGTCGTGCTGTCTCACCCCTCAAGGGTGGTTGCCGGGCGAAAGCCCAGTCTTGGCTCCTTTGAGCCCCGACGAACGACGCCTGCGGTTTTCCGTCGCTTCTCTTCTTGAAGACTTCGTTTCGGCATCCCCTAGGTGGGGCGATCTCGTCTGCGTGTTCCTTTGTTGGTCGAGCAGCGGTCGGTCACGCTTAGCGGCGGCCAGTCCGGTGCTAGCCTTCTCCCATGCTTGTATGTTGGCGCTGTCAGTGTGTGGGTGGTGGTATATTTTTTTCCTTTTTTCTAGTTATGACTCTCCAGGGTTATAATCTTGTAATTTTTTCCTACTCTATCAATAGAACTTTGCAACATCTCGTGCAAGTCGTTAAAAAAAAAGTGGCACAAACCACACCGACTCCCTAGTGTACTCACTGGGTAGCTCATCGATAACCGCTAACTCATCACGACACAAATCTCACTGGTAAACACGTGTAACAATGTAACATCCTTCTTGCTTGAATCATCAAACAAGAAGTATGCGTATCCACCGTAACTGCAACTCTTGGCACCAGGAACCTTCGCTGTCTCAATCAGAAAACTGCTGTTTCCACCCAAGAACATGATAGGATCAGGATTTACCGTCTCGGGGACCCAGGAAGCTCTTCCGTCCTTCTGCAGTTCTGCTGGAGCTTATGCAGCGATACAGATAATGGCTGGCGTCTTGTGCCGAAGGATGAATTATAATCTGAGCACATAACACATCTCCACGCCATTCAAGAAGAAACGTACGTCCCACCGCTTTCCCAGGCTCAACTGGCGCCTGGCGGTGGCCCTATCCAATTGCTGGTACTAAAGTACGGCGAGACGACTGCAAAACAGCGGCTGCTGACGTCTCCGCAAACAATAGATCCGTCCTCCATCGCGGAATATTGGGCCTGTTTAGTTGGTGAAATAAAAAATTTTAGGTGTTACATCAGACATTTAACTGGATGTCGGAAGAGGTTTTTAGACATGAATGGAAAAACTAATTTCATAACTCGCCTGAAAACTACGAGACGAACTTTTTGAGCCTAATTAAACTGCCATTAGCACATGTAGGTTACTGTAACACTTATGGCTAATCATGGACTAATTAGGCTCAAAAGATTCGTCTCGCCATTTACATACAAATTGTGCAATTAGTTTTTCTTTTTATCTATATTTAATGCTCTATACATGTGTCCAAAGATTCGATGTGATGTTTTTGTGAAAAGTTTTTGGGAACTAAACAGGGCCAGGTCAGGCCAAATAATCTGAGTATGCAGCCATGTGGGGTTATTGTGCAGCAGCATAGAGACCCGGACGATCCTCCTCAGGTCATTCACAGTGCATCTCTGTGGCATTTGGCCTCAGCACAAAAATACGAATATTCCGTTCCACGTCGTCTATCCGCGCGGCCTCCCTAGGAACGCGTAGCAAACTTTGGCTACGGGTTCCTCGGTCGTAGGTAGGACCCACGGCGCGTCAAGGATGAGAGAGGGAGGAGAGAGAACGGTCATCCTTGTGCTCCACGCCGCCGATCTCGTCGGCCAGAGGAGGAAGGAGGACTGTCGGGCGCAAAGGGGAAGCTCACCAGCCGCCGACGGGGAGAAAGGAGCTCCGCTGTCCCTCGCCGCCCAACCCGCGTCCGTCGTCCCTCACCACCCGACCCGCGTCCACCGTCCTTCGCCGAGCTCATCGGCCCCCACCGCCAGATCCACGCACTCCGTCCCTCGCCGAGCTCGCTCCCGCCGATTCAACGCTGCTGCCACCGAATGGATGGGGATCCGGCCGGAAGAGGAGGAGGGGAGGCGCTCGAGCTGCCGCGCCGCCTCGATCTGCGGCGGCCAGAAGAGGAGGAGGAGGGGAGGCGCTCGAGCCGCCCCACCGACCAGCACCGTCGAGCTCCTGATCTGCCGCTGGCGTCGTCGCCGCATGGGCCGCCCGGTGTCGGCGTTGCTGCTCAGGCCGTCCGTGCCATCGTCACCGTCCGCCGAGCCGCTTCACGCCGCCGCCATCGTTCGCCGCGCCGCGCAAAGGGGAATCTCACCGGCCGCGCAGGAGGAGGAAGGGGAGGCGCGGCGGCCGGAGAATAGGGGAGGCGTGCGGGCGGAGATGGAGAAGCGCGCGGGCGGACTGGGTGGGGATCAGACTGAGGATATGGGAGAGAGAAATGATTTTTTTTTGTGTGGCTCCTATTTGAGGCTACATAGCAATGTGAGACTTGTGATAAATATTATTCTTCTTGTGTCTTCGTCCTATGTGGCAGCCCTAGCTCCGTAAAATAGGTGACGCACTACTAATGCCCTCACTGTAGAACCTGCAAACCAGAACTCTCCCATCCTCACAAACTCTGAAACTGGTATTGCCATGCTGCATCTTGCCATACTCTGACAACCGAGGGAGGGTTTGCTGTGAGTATCCAATCAGCTGTGAGTAATCCACATGAAGCAGTATTGATCGATGTCGCCAGCTACTGGAATCATCAGGAGGACATGGCCACTCGTCGATGCAGCGGTCATACGAGAAAAGCTCCAGCTTGCAGGAAGGGTGATGGTTTTCCTTGTGACTACGCATCGAGCGCTCAGAGTAGACGGCTGAATACCACAGGGAGCAACAAGTAATGGCAGGTGAGGCCATAGGGGACGAGTTGAGCTTCATTCCTTGCACACTGCTCCCATGCGAGCATAATCTGCCGGGTCATAGGTATGGAGACATATCTCGTACACACTGTCTTCCGGGATGGCAGAGCATTTTGTGCCTGTAAATGTAATATCGACATGATGTGTATAAGTATTTTAGAAGGAGAAAATCAAATGACGTGCTTAGCATATTGAGCAGAGACAGATTAAGACAGTTCAATACCATATAAAATGTACTTTCTCTAAGAATTGGTTTTGACTGAGCGCTACCAAATTAGGTGGAGTCCTTTTGCTAAAAGATTGACATCACATTTTTTACTTGATTTTAGAAGATCTACCGGATCATACACAACTGAATTTTATTTTCATTCTTCCTATCCTAATTTCAAGTTCAGATTCTAATATTTTGTGACTGACAACCCAAATAATTGAAGAGAAGAAAAAAAGATAGAAAATGGTAAGCAACCCATCTAGATAGGACTTCTCTTTCTTTTTAAATTATTGTTGGACGTTACATATTTTGCCATCAGAATCGTACGCATCAATTCCTCTAGAAAAGTGAACCGGTTCGGTATTTGTAGAATAATAATTTGAAATCCTACCAAACATTGCTCTAAGAATCAACAGCAATTCTACAAATCGGCATTTCTAGAATGTACTAATCCCATATCAGATTGGAGAATACTAGATTTGAAGAGGATTACAGGAACAAAAATGTAAAGCAAACCAAATTCAGAAGAGGTGGCAAGACCATGGGGATCGATCGAAGCTACTCACGGTGGGCCATGTCGTGGATCACCATGCTTCTCCGCGATCTCGACGTCAGAACTGAAACGCGTGTCGCGGAAACCCCACCTAGCCACCAGACTGCCGCCCCTGGTGTCCAAATGTAAAATATCTACTATACATTTTACATTTAGGTCCACATTTTATTATTAAAATTTGAGTAAATTTCACTTTGGTCAACCTTTATTTACCAAATTTTTACATTGAACTAGAGTTAGACTTATATTTTCACTTAACACCATATATAGTTACCATCATTTGCACTTTAGACCGGGTTTCACAAATTACACATAGTATAATGATTGTAGATCTCATTTCTTTTTGGCAAAATTTGCTACAGGGCATCGAAAAAATGTGTAATTAGCTCATGGACACCGCAAGAACAAGAATTTGCTGTAGAGCATCACAAAAAACGTGTAATTAGCTCCTGGACACTCGGGGCCTTATTTTATTATTTTCTGTGAATTTGGAGAGAGAAATACTAAATAAAGACAAGTTTACCCTTGGATTTGAGGACCGTAGGGGCGGCTTGGTTCGCGTGCGCCCGCGGCGCAGCGACGGGGTTGACGCTAGGTCGCGACGACGGGAGAGGCGGGCGACGCGGGCGCGGCAACAAGCGGCGCAGAGCGGGCACGACAACGGCGGCGGAGCTGGTGCTAGGTCACGACGACGGGAGAGACGAGCGACGCGGGCGCGGCAACGGGCGGCGCAGAGCGGGCGCGGCAACGGGCGGTGGAGTTGGCGCTAGGTCGCGACGACGGGAGAGGCGGGCGACGCGGGCGCGGGAACGGGCGGCGTGGAGCGGGTGCGACAACGGCAGCGGAGTTGGCGCTAGGTCACGGCGGAGCGGGCGCGACAATGTCGGCGGGGTTGGCGACAGCTCGCGATGGCGCCGGCGGGAGAGGGGGAGAGAGACGGCCGGATCGACCGCTCGCGATGGCGTGGGCGTGGCAGCGGGCAGCGCAGAGTGGGCGCGCGACCTCCTTTCTCCCCCTCTCCCCAGTACGCTCGCTGCGTCGGTCGCCGCGCCTGCTCGAGCTCCTCGAACGATGGACAACGGCAATGGTGGTGGCGACTCTCCGGCGGAGGGGTCCTAAAATTGATCGCTAAAATAGAGTTAGGGATGTTTTGGGAGCATGCTGGCGCAAGGGGAAGGGAGGGGCTCAATGGCGGAGGTGGTGGTGGCGGTGCTCTGGCTGGTGTGAGGGCAGGGGCAAAATCGTACTCTCAGCAGTGTTTCTCTCTCTAAATCCACAAGAAATAATAAAATAAGACTCCAAGTGTCCAGGAGCTAATTACACGTTTTTATGATGCCCTACAGCAAATTCTCGTTCTTGCGGTGTCCACAAGCTAATTACACGTTTTTTCAATGCCCTGTAGCAAATTTTGCCTTTCTTTTTTTTTAGAAAACTTAGAATTCAACAATTTGTACTAACACTACAGTTGGGTACTGTAAAACATGTAATATCATTTCTAAAAAAAATAGTTCTTAAACTCAATATTTCTCTAATTTTATCTCTAGTATAAGGTTGTGAATGTTCATATGTAGTAGTAATAAAGTCCCATTAATCTGATAGGTGTATGGCAAAAATTTCCATATCATTGTTTCTTTAAAATGCTAAGCACCTAGACAACAACTCGTGTGATGGTAACTATAAAACCAGGTCCAAAGTGCAAAGAACGGTAATTATACGTGGTGTTAAACGAATACATAAGTCTAGCCCTAGCCCAATGTGAAATTTTGTGTTAAGCGAATATATAAGTCTAGCCCTAGCCCAATGTGAAATTTTGTGTTAAGCGAATACATAAGTCTAGCCCTAGCCCAACGTGAAATTTTGTTCAATAAACATGGTCCAAAGTGAAATTTATTCTTAAAATTTCTTTCAGATCAGATGATTGCAAAATCAGCAATCAGTTCGATTTCTCACCCTTTCACGGCCGCCAGATCCGCCACCGCTCGCCGGAGGGAGGGTCGAGCCCGGCGGCGGCGAGCAGAGCGAGAGGGAGAGGGGGAGGATGGATCGATCGATTCAATATTCCATCTCAGGGGGGCTCTCCAAGGCAAGGGAGAGGAAGAGGCCGAGGCAGGAGGCGGCCGTGAACAACAGGCGGAAGCTGCAGCGGCAGCAGATCAGCTGCCGCCGCGACCGCTCCTTCTCGCAGGAGCGCTTCCGCAGCTACAGGTTCCCACGAGCCCGCGCCCATCGTATCTTGGCAACTTTTTTGTTCAATTTTGTTCCCGTGCTCCTCGAGTGAGGTACTAGTTTGGTTCCATCTCTGGGAAATTGTGGCTCTGAGAGGTCGTGACCCTTGTGGTTACCCGATTTTGTGGTGGGGGTGGGTTGCCATTACTGGGCACGGGAACCTGAGATCTGTTCAGGTTTGGGGCCATATGTCGGAATTGGAGTGGGTTTGGTGAATTCCTCGCTATGCTTGTTTTTGCAGATGTGATGAGAAAACCTGTGTTTTTCATTAAGCAGCTTAGGATGTTGTCTTGTGCAGCTGCGTGCTAACTTCCTTCGTCAAACCTTGCAGCGGCCTGTCTGGCTTCCTATGATATAGTAAGTTTAGGGATTCGGTATTTGCTTTCAGGTTAGCACAAGCATATTATGTCTTGCGGGTGTTTGGAAATGATGAAGTGTGGATTATAACTGTCAATTTGTGAGATTGCTGCAATTGTACATAGAAGATGACACTGCCTGTTGTCTGTGTCATTTGAGGCAAACATTTTTTATAGGTTAAATTTGTGCTTGCCTCCAATTATTGTTGTCTTGGTTAACTGTTACTCTTGACTTTTGTTACTTCGCTGCTCAGATAACCAGCTTAACCCTATCCTCCATTGAAAAATACAGTGTGGGACTCTACTTGGACTAATTAATGCGTATAGTTTCCTATAGCCACCTTATGAAAACTGTCAGGCTTGCATCTTAGGTCCTCTCCCTTTGCTTATAATGTACTTTGCTGTCACTTTCAGGAAGAGTTTGATACCCACGATCCTTAAGGAGGACAGCTTGCTACTAGCTTACTTGAGGAAAATTATGAGATAGTTGCAGCACGTGGCATAGCTTTTTTTCTCTATCGCCATCCGGAGTGTGTGCTGCTTTTAGTACATGTATGTTTGTGTCATTGCAGTGCACTTCTTCCTGTGATCATACAAAGATCCTCCTCATGTATTACCAGAGACAAATAGTACAATATGCTTTCTGAATGGAAGTCCAGATAAAGTTATCCTCAGTTTATTTTACAACAAGAATAATGAATCACTCATTATGGTTCCATTACATGATTATGAAAATTTCAGTGCTTTGCGATGCAGGACAACTCGGATACCATTGTTGTGAATTCCACATTATGTTATCTTCTTAAGATGCTGTCAACCCTTTCAAGGTAGGCGAGCAAAACTAAATGCTTGTTCCCCTCATTTTGAGAGTGAATCCTTGAATTGGCCTGGATTAATGGAATTTGATGATGTCAACAGGAAGGTTCCAACTTATTCTGCTCAAGACAGGTACACAACAACTTCTGTAATGACTATAAAGTACGTTTATTCTGAAACTGTCCTAATGCCATTGCATTCTGCAAACAGTAGTTACAAGGTGTTTGATTTGAAAAACAACATACTACTGTATTCTATATCAGTTAAGAAATAATGATAAGATAAACCCCTCCCCCCATATTTTTTTCTTCTTTCCATTTCCTGCATGTCTCCTATCTAAATAATCTGTTGGATGCACCCCACTTTTATGGGCATGTTCAACAAGCTATTCCATTATCATTTAAATGCACCTTATCTTGGTTACAACTAACAATAAATTCAACAAGCATGCTTTAGATAGACTGAACTTGTAAATATATAATATATTATGTATCTAATGCACATATAAAAACTTTAAAAGAGTAAATTTCATTTTTTGACCATGTATTTTTACCCTTGTTGCAGCTTGGGCTAGGCTTTAGCTGAGTTTTTCACCTTGGACCACTTAATCTTATCATTTGTTTCATCCTGGACAAATCTCGCTCATCTTATCTGACTCTGACAGGCGACAACCCATCACCGACGTACCCATCCGCACAGCATTGGCGGCGTGGTGGCTACTGATGCACTCATTTGATTTGATCATCACATATCAGCTTGGCTGCTCCATACTCCACAGTCCCAGCCCCAAGCTACATCCTACAACCAAATGGGCGGTGGAACATGGCTTCACTGAAACAACAAAAATTGACGCAACTGCCTCAAAATTAGAACAATCCAAACCATGAATTTGTGTTGCTTCTATCCCTAATGCAAGCACCAACAAATTACTAGCTGCTATTTGAATCGATTCCCTTGCCTTGTTGCTGTCGTGCACGGTGAGATGCCACTCGCCATGGCCGTCATTGAAGGCCTCACTGTTGCGACCTGCTGGACCAGTGGTCCCACGCCATGAGCTTGCCCTCGTCGATGGCTGGCGTAGTGCATCCCGGCAACAGGCAGCTGAAAGGGACGTGATCTAGCAAGCCGAAATGGCCCTCATGGGAGCTCACCTGCCGTCGGCTGACTAAGTGACTAGAGAAGTGCGTCGCAGCGCAAATCGGCTGTTGCTGCTGAACTCTAAAAAATTGCAAAAATTGCAGGGGCTAAAATTGCAAGAAAGGACTGAAGGGACCAGGGGCTAAAAACAACAAGCTAAATGAGATTGAGCAGGCGATGATTATTAGACTTTCTGTTGCTTGATGAGCCTGATGCGTGATTGCGGGCCGGAGGCGGAGGGGAGGAGAAGGGAGGAAAGTGGGCTGGCTCGGTTGCAGGCTGAGGAAAGAAACGGGCTTAAAATGGCTCAGAGAGAAAGGAGGGTTTATATTTAGATTTTTATTTAAATAAATACTGAAATGATGTTTGTATTACTAAAATTATCAATTGAACTATGAAAATTTCGAAAATAATTTAGATAGCGTAATTAATCATGGAGAATTTAACAAAATTTAAATCCAGCCTGATTTTATTTGGCAAATTTTATTCCCCACATTTACTTCACTGGTACATTAACTGAACTTTAGTATAAATTCTAGAAATAATTTATTAAACAATTTATAAATCCTAGAAACGAACATTAGGCACTAGGGTGTGACAGTTCATCCCGTTCTCGATTTGGATTAGGACGATACATACGTATGCCCATGTCCCCCACAAGAATCGTGCATCATTCAAATTTTTGTTGTCGCTGCTCATCAAAATAGAGATCAAATTCAATGAAAATGCCTCGATGAAAACACGTTCGAGAGATATATGTGTAATTGCGATTTCATTTGTAGCGGGGATGAAATAGAAGGAAGATGGTGAAATTTGTATTTTAATTAATTACAAAATGTAAATCTCTCAGCTTTTTCTCAATTTTCTCGTATTTTCTTCCCGTTGCAACGCACGAGCACTTTTTCTAGTGTATATACTGTGCATACATACATATAAACTTTGTATACACATTCACAAAGTTTATTCATATATACCATAACCCTATAAATACGTGGTGGAGGACTCCGCGTGGTGTGTGATCATCGGCTGCACATCGCCGGACACGACATTTTACAACCTCTGCCTTCACCAGTTCAGCGTCACAGCCTCAAGCCGCGTGCTAGGCACCAGCAACGACTTCCTGGAGCGCCTCGCGCGTATCATCCCAACCCCAAGTGAGCTGGCACGATCGTGCTATGCAGATGCCAAGGCCACGCTGAGCAGTGATCCCCTTCAGCTGGTCCTCTGTTGTGTCCCCTGGAGCCTCTGCCTCGAATCGGACAAGGAAGATAGTATCATGCGAACGGAAATTGCAAGGCCCACGGTAGTTCAGATGCTCGACCTCTTCAACAAGAACAAGTCCCTGATGCCCGATCTGCCAGGTCCTTGGGCACCTCACTGGCCAGTATCAGCGGCAAGCGACATTTGGGTACTATACCTGGCATGATGCCCGGAAAAGAATGGTCAGTCATACCAAGTGATGCGCCGTTATGACAAGCTCACTGATGAATGGGTGGACGTCGACAGAGTCGACTTGTGCCATGATGGCCCCTGGACTATGGTAGAACCAGGACGTGGCGTTTTTGGTGGTTGTTTTATCACTGGTCAAGTTTCAATTCTTCAGGGTTATGTGGTCATTGGGGACCTAATACTAGTATCAGTAGGAAGGACACAATTTTTCTGTTTCAATTGCTCGACTTGTAGTTGGAACTAGGTGACCATCACTGGCGATAGTTCTCACTATATCCTTTTCTATGGTAGAGCAGTTTATGTGGAGGAGGATGACACGATCTATTTCTCGCGGGGTTGCTCTCTTGTTGCTTACAAGTTCCTGCGAGAAGAGATGCAACTGAAGCCACCAGTCAAGATCGGAGAGAAGCTCTTTCCTTATGGCGATGATGGGAGTAGTTTCGTTGCCCGCCTCAATGACCGCATTTTGTGCGTTGTCTGGGTTAGTATGAGGCTTGCATGCGGATGCACTAACCGTCACATGCTTGTTGCCACTGTTTGTGTGACTGGTGAGAGCCACTGTAGCCAAGATTCCGTCCCCCTGGGTTGTAAAGTGTTGCACTACACTTGCCGCAAGATACAAATGGTGGGAAGGGATGAATGCTCTGGTAGTTTTGACAATTTCTGCTTCTTACATGAAGTAATTTACTACTCTGCTTTGAACACATCTGATCAAACATAGCATTTTTCAATTTGTGATTTTTAGAAAAAAAATATTTCTAATATTACTCAGTATAGCTAGAACTTACTGATCAAGATTTTGAATCTGTTAGTATTATTCTTATGTTATATCTTAATTAGAGAGTACCGGGAGGAGAAGTCTCAGCATCTAGAAGAACATCTAGTGTTGGAAGAAGGGGTGGATACTGTAGAGCCATCTGCATTGCTTCCTTGTTGCAGGTTTGATTTATCTTTTCTTTATCCATTTGTTCTTTGTTGTGAATTGCAATTTGACATTTTACAGCTGCTAAATTTACACAGGAAATTCTTAAAATGACATGAGAAAAATTCAAGCAAAGGGAACTAGAACTCCGGTAGTTACAGGTAAGAGTCATATCTTGGAATGCTAGCGGATTTTATATTTCCTAATTATGGCATATTCTTGTTCTCTGTTGTGGATCCAATTTGATAATTAATTAACAAATATCATAACAGGCCGCTCTATCTATTCTTGGTTAGGACGGTCTTGACCGTTAATATCAGTTGGGTTAAATATCATAACAGGCCGGACCGTCTGTCGACATTAGTTAGGAACTTAGGATGATCCTGACCGTTAATATATGCTGGTTTAAATACATGGTCGGTACATTAGAGGTTGTGAATTTTTCATGCGAAGTGAGTTGTGTCACATGTAGATATTCGGTTATATCAGCACTAGGCTTGGAAAAATGAATGGTTAGCTTCATCTTGTTTCCTGCAATACTTGTAAGTTAGTACAAGTCTAACAGTATGCCTCGACTTATATGTAATCTAATGCACTAATTTAATGATATGAGTAGCAGTTTCATATCTATTTATAAGTAGTGAAGGCCTTTTGTATGATTATGTAGTTGCTATGTAATATGATGAGCAAGTTCATATTTGAGTAAAGTGCATTGGCGGTACTTAAACTTGTAGGGTTGTGTCATATAGGTCCCTAAACTCTCAAAATGCATGTCTTTATCCTAGAACTTGTTAAAGTGTATCATCTAGGTCCCAAATTGACACATCCCCTCTAGGATCCTACGTGGTGCTGTGTAGCAATACCACATGGACGTGACGTGTCTTTTTTCTTTTTTTTTTCTTTTTCGTTTTCTTCTCATTCTTCTTTTTTTTTTCCTTTTTTCTGCACGGGTCACAGAGAAAGGAGAAGAAAGGGAAAAAGAGAAAAAAAAGAAAAAGGAAAAAATAAATGGGTCCCATTCGCCAGTCAATATAATGCCATGTCATGTCTGTGTGGCATGCCACATCAACGCCACATAAGATCCTGAAGGGATTGTGGCGATTTGGGACCTAAATGACACACTATGATTAGGATTTGGATATGCATTTTGAGAGTTTAGGGGTCTAAATGACATACCTCTACAAGTTTAAGGACTGTCCGTACACTTTACTCTTCATATTTTATCATGCTACTGTGATTTCTCTTAATATGTAAAACATGAGATAGCTGCACGTTATACCAAAGATACCTTTGTTTGTATAAAAGGGTAAGTTGATCCTTTACACTAATACCTAGTTGTTTGATATACTGTGAACTATCACATGTTATGTCAACTTATTCTGAAATTCGTTTTCTTTTTGTGAACAGTTACTCTGCCACAATTAGCAAGGTGGACATCAAAATACCGGACAGTACCTTGCCACACCAAATCAGGAGCAAGTGATTGGAGAAATATGAAGCATTTTCTTAGAAGTTAATGTTATATAGTGCCTAGTACTTCTTTAGTTACCTGCATGCTATTCGAAGTACAGCTCCTGTTAGGAAGACCTATGACGACTTGCACATTTGTGTGCCTACTTGGGTTTTGGTTGTTGCCAATGTACCCTACTGGCACATCTCTGTCTGATTCTGCACTTTAATATCTGAATTACTGATAGACCACCTCTTCTAAACTTGCCATCAAAATGAGACCATACAATATCTTCGTTGCATGGTACATTTGGTGATGTCACATTTCTTAATCATGATTTAAAAAATAAATTGGAAAATTCGGTTTAATTAATTTGTGTTAACTTCAACAGTAATTGAAAAATGTCTTAAAAAGGGTAAGCATAAAAGAAATTTTAATTAGTTAAACATATATTACATGTCTGTGGTATATAAAATGGAACACCATTAGTGATTACAAATTAAATGCTACTCCTATTTTTTTTTAAGTTCAGCTCTCACATGAAAGATATATAGCCCATACAGAGGTATAGCTCTCTTGGATGGTTGGACTTTTTTTAGCTCTTTTCAGTTTAGTTTCCTTCTGTTTTGTGGTATAATGTCCGGGAACCTGGGTGATGGGTGTTGATATAGGTTGCCTTTGTAGGGCGAGCTTTTTCAAAGCTTTGAGTTAATTAGGCACTAATCGGCACAATTTTATAGGAACTGATCGCTGGACAGATCAACATGTTTGACTAATTACATAGTGTATTGATCCCAAGGCAGATCAGATCGAAGGCACACACTCATATATATGCCCCTAATTGTGTGTAGCAATACAATTGAACTTTCAAATCGATTTAATTAGTGCTGTACTCTCGGAGAAAAGAAATTATGTAATGCTACTACTAGCAGCTAGTACTAGTACTAGTAGCTTTCGGCAAACAGTGTATGCGTCAAATTTTCGATTAAAAAACCTTGCAATCATAAATCTCCTGAAAAAAAAAAATTAAAAACCTTGGTAAACTTCGTCCCAATTAATCGGATTCTCCTGGTCGATCGATCTCAGTATCTCAATGCTCTGATGCGCACCGCCACGCACTTCATTAATTTCATGTCTCCTCTAATTTCCTCCTGAACCCTAATTAATTAACCAACCCCGATTCCCTTTTTGACGTTGCTTAAGCAAAGCTGACTTTGGATTTCTCATTTCTCAACCCGCATGCACGTGAATCCCTTCTTTGTTTAAGCATTCCTAGGCTAATCACCGACTAATTAATTAATTAATTAATCATCCTTGATTCTGTTAATTCCAGTGTTAGAGATCCACGTCGTGTTGATCATGTCGATGACTAGCTGAGCACTGAGCCAGTGAGCTCTGCCACTCGTAGTAGTCGATCGCCGGCGATCGATCTTGCCTCGCCGGAGAAGGAGAGAAGACGTCACGCCGGCGGCGGCACATGAAGCGGCACAACACGGCGGAGGTGCCGGTGCCGGTGAGCTACGGCGGCAAGGTGGAGAAGACGATGGGTGGGGCTAAGCAGGGGCGCGGCGGCGGCGGCGGCTGCTGCTCCCGCCTCTGGTTCATGGTCGTTCTCTCCGCCACCGTGACGCTGCTGGTGCGCCACTGCTACGACTCCGGCGTGATCGGCCACGGCGCCGCCGCCGGCGGCGTGGTGCGCATCGAGCCGGTGCACCGTGGTTTGTACCACACTCGGAAGGCGAGCCCGGTGGATCGCGGCGGCGGCGGCGGCGGCACGTCGTTCTCTGGCCATTCGCCGTCGCCGCCCGACGCCGGCGGCAGCGCGAAGCCGGAGTCTCCGCACGACAGCGGCGTCAAGGCGCCGTCGGAGCTGACCACCGTCGAGCACACCAAGCAGCCGTCCGAGCCAGCTTCTACCGGCACGGAGTCGGATGATGGAGGCAAGCCATCGTCGGCGTCGTCATCCTCGCTGCCGGCGGCGGCGCACCCGTTCGCGCGCGCGCTCGCGGCGGCGGGCGACAAGGGCGACCGGTGCGGCGGGCGGTACGTGTACGTGCAGGAGCTGCCACCGCGGTTCAACACCGACATGGTAAAGAACTGCGCGACGCTGTTCCCGTGGACGGACATGTGCGCGTTCACGGCGAACGGCGGCTTCGGCCCGCAGATGAGCGGCGGCGACGGCGGCGTGTTCCAGGAGACCGGGTGGTACAACTCCGACCAGTACACGGTGGACATCATCTTCCACGACCGGATCAGGCGGTACGAGTGCCTCACCGACGACCCCTCCCTCGCCGCCGCCGTGTACGTGCCGTTCTTCGCCGGCCTCGAGGTGGCGCGCCACCTCTGGGGGTTCAACGTCACCACCCGGGACGCCATGGCGCTGGAGGTGGTGGACATCATCACGTCGCGGTCCGAGTGGCGCGCCATGGGAGGCCGCGACCACTTCTTCACCGCCGGCCGCACCACGTGGGACTTCCGGAGGCTGAACGACGGCGACGCCGGCTGGGGCAGCAAGCTGTTCAGCCTTCCGGCGATCAAGAACATGACGGCGCTCGTGGTGGAGGCGAGCCCGTGGCACCTCAACGACGCCGCCATCCCGTTCCCGACTGCGTTCCACCCGGCGAGCGACGAGGCCGTGTTCGTCTGGCAGGACAAGGTCCGCCGCCTCGAGCGCCCATGGCTCTTCTCCTTCGCCGGCGCGGCGCGCCCGGGCAGCGCCAAGTCCATCCGTTCCGAGCTCATCGCGCAGTGCAGGGCGTCGAGCGTGTGCTCCCTGATGGAGTGCGCCGACGGGCCGAGCAACAAGTGCGGCTCGCCGGCGAGCTACATGAGGCTGTTCCAGAGCTCCACCTTCTGCCTCCAGCCGCAGGGCGACTCGTACACGCGCAAGTCGGCGTTCGACGCCATGCTCGCCGGCTGCATCCCGGTGTTCTTCCACCCCGGCACGGCGTACGTCCAGTACACCTGGCACCTGCCCAGGAACCACGCCGACTACTCCGTCTACATCTCCGAGGACGACGTGCGCCGCAACGCCAGCATCGAGGAGCGGCTGCGGCGGATCGCGCCGGCCGCCGTGGAGCGGATGAGGGAGACGGTCATCTCGCTCATCCCGACGGTGGTGTACGCGCAGCCGTCGTCGAGGCTGGACACGATGAAGGACGCGTTCGACGTGGCGGTGGACGCCATCGTCGACAAGGTGACGAGGCTGCGGCGCGACATCGTCGACGGCCGCGGCGAGGAGGAGAAGCTGGAGATGTACAGCTGGAAGTATCCATTGCTGCGAGAAGGGCAGAAGGTCGAGGACCCCCATGAGTGGGATCCATTGTTCGCGTTCGGTTAGGTCATCGTTTCTATTACTTTCTACTGTCACACTGTTACACAATACAAGGTTAATTACGTGTTTGAAAGAAGTTTGGGAATACTTGTAATGCAATGGAACGAATAATTTCCAGTTTTACCAAAAGATGAACAAGTTCGAAGAAATTGTTTTGTACCGTTTGTTGTTTCTATCAGGTATCCTGCATATATAGAAGGGTGAAAATTAAAGCCAAGATGTGACTACTGCAGCCAAAAGTTGGCAACATCCTTATTTGATCCTACTGGAATGGAAGTGCTTAGCAAATTTGAACAGCTTAAAAGAAGCAGAACTGAAACTAACCGGTTTGAATTGTGGCAATTCTTGTAAGGGAATCATTCCATGCAGTAGTCACCAAAAATGCGACTGAAGCTTGCAATTTTAAGTTAGAAGAAAGAAAGTTGCGAAATGTCACGTAGCCTAGTGGTTGTAGTGACCTGAATAGCACTCCAAGGCCCTGAGTTAAAAGTTAATGCTGAAAAATAAACAACAATGAAACAACATCAAAATCAACTCTAATGTTAGGTTTTAAAATTCAAATTTTGATTACAGCTACGACACCAAACGCCGCGATGACTATGCCAAAATGAAAATAGAGAAATGAACTGATAATCTTAATTAATGTTTGTCTGCTGACACTCATATTGACCAGTTTTAGTCTTTGGATTGTGAAAAGAGCTTCACCATGGCAGGGTGCCGAATTGGTATTATCTAATCTTTCATTGCTACATGAAGCTTGCATAATAAAAACAAAAATTAGGAAAATGATGCCAGGTAGTTCGTACTATCAAATTGGGATCAAGCCCGTCGCGCGTGTAAAGCTAAAGCCCTGGAATAACTGATGAAAAAGTAGAAGAAAACAGAGAAGAGAAGGGCCAGCTTGCTGATTTTCCTTTCGGCTTTGTCATTGGGCTGTAAGCTAGCTTAGCGGGCAGCAGCAGGCTTGGCCCAGGCGAGCAGTGCGTACAGTAGGATGGAGGCCCTAACACAAGTTTTTTGAGCCTAGAACCGCTTCGACTCGGCTCAGGTAACATATGAAATTCTTTAAGTTTGTTTATCTTTTGGTAAAGTATTAGAAATTATTCATCGCGTTGCATCATATATATCCAAAAAGAACGTTATAAGCCGTGTGTATAACACTATGACAGTACTCCTAATCAAGAATTAGTAGTAGAGAGATGCATTATTCAGAGCCAAATTTGATCGTGAATTACACGTTTTATTCAAAGTCAAATTTATTGTTTTTATTTCAATTTATAAATTTAAATAACATATCACATATTAATCTATCTAATTAGTTTTATTTTCAAATCTTTCGATGACTTCTCAAGAGACATGAAAAACGACATCCCTTTAAGATGAATAGACTTTCCATTAGTATCATGGCTACATTTGCAGGAATATTAATCTGTTTACTGTCAGCTTCTCTATCGCACTGGGTGACAACTTAAAAAGTATGCAATGTGAAAGCATAGATATACTTGGGAAATAGAGGTGATATGAGTGTGCTCAACAGATTAAAACATACTCCCTGGTTTTAAAATATAAGCATTTATGTGATATAAAATTTATACCATAATATAAATACTTTTAGGACACTAAATCCAACAACGAAAATCATAAATTTTCAACTAATGGGATTCTTGGGAAAGAAATATAAATAATTTAAAAAATAAAATTTGGCAATAAAAGTGACTAGAAATAATATTTTCTCTATGCCTTAGTTTTTCTAAAGAAACTAAAAATACTTCAATTTTAAAACGGAGAGAGTACATACTAAAAGGCAAGAATGCGATAGATTGAACTCTAATTTAGTTAGAGATCTTCCTAGTACAAAAGGTTGACAAGCAAATATAGGAGAAAGAAAAGAAAGAAGCTATCCTAGTACCTCCCATCTTGCTCTACAAAACTACAAATAGCGAAAACTATTCTAAATTTTCGAGGAGATATTCTTTCGTTGTTGCATGTCACTATAAATATAAATAATTTTTTTAAAACACAACAAGATAATTTAATTTGTGATAGATCACTTCACAAACATGAAGGTCAAATTTAATTGGTAGAAATGGTGAGCTAGGCGAACGCGAACAATGAATCCCACTCATGGGGGTCCTCGACCTTCTGCCCTTCTCGCAGCAATGGATACTTCCAGCTGTACATCTCCAGCTTCTCCTCCTCGCCGCGGCCGTCGACGATGTCGCGCCGCAGCCTCGTCACCTTGTCGACGATGGCGTCCACCGCCACGTCGAACGCGTCCTTCATCGTGTCCAGCCTCGACGACGGCTGCGCGTACACCACCGTCGGGATGAGCGAGATGACCGTCTCCCTCATCCGCTCCACGGCGGCCGGCGCGATCCGCCGCAGCCGCTCCTCGATGCTGGCGTTGCGGCGCACGTCGTCCTCGGAGATGTAGACGGAGTAGTCGGCGTGGTTCCTGGGCAGGTGCCAGGTGTACTGGACGTACGCCGTGCCGGGGTGGAAGAACACCGGGATGCAGCCGGCGAGCATGGCGTCGAACGCCGACTTGCGCGTGTACGAGTCGCCCTGCGGCTGGAGGCAGAAGGTGGAGCTCTGGAAGAGTCTCATGTAGCTCGCCGCCGAGCCGCACTTGTTGCTCGGCCCGTCGCGGCACTCCATGAGTGAGCACGCGCTCGACGCCCTGCACTGCGTGATGAGCTCGGAACGGATCGACTTGGCGCTGCCCGGGCGCGCCGCGCCGGCGAAGGAGAAGAGCCATGGGCGCTCGAGGCGGCGGACCTTGTCCTGCCAGACGAACACGGCCTCGTCGCTCGCCGGGTGGAACGCCGTCGGGAACGGGATGGCGGCGTCGTTGAGGTGCCACGGGCTCGCCTCCACCACGAGCGCCGTCATGTTCTTTATCGCCGGAAGGCTGAACAGCTTGCTCCCCCAGCCGGCGTCGCCGTCGGCCAGCCTCCGGAAGTCCCACGTGATGAGGCCGGCGGTGAAGAAGTGGTCGCGGCCTCCCATGGCGCGCCACTCGGGCCGCGACGTGATGATGTCCACCACCTCCAGCGCCATGGCGTCCCGCGCGGTGGCGTTGAACCCCCAGAGGTGGCGCCACACCTCGAGGCCGGCGAAGAACGGCACGTACACGGCGGCGGCCAGGGAGGGGTCGTCGGTGAGGCACTCGTACCGCCTCATCCGCTCGTGGAAGATGATGTCCACCGTGTACTTGTCGGAGTTGTACCACCCGGTCTCCTGGAACATGCCGCCGCCGCCGCTCATCGGCGGGCCGAAGCCGCCGTTCGCCGTGAACTTGCACATGTCTTTCCACGGGAACAGAGCCACGCAGTTCTTGACCATGTCGGTGTTGAACCGCGGAGGCAGCTCCTGCACGTACACGTACCGCCCGCCGCACCGGTCGCCCTTGTCGCCCGCCGCCGCGAGCGCGCGCGAGAACGGGTGCGCCGCCGCCGGCAGCGAAGATGACGCCGACGATGGCTCGCCTCCACCGTCAGACTCCGTTCCGGTAGAAGAATCGGTCGTCGCCGACTTGTGGTCGACGGTGACCGGCTTCGCGCTGCCGGAATCGGAGAACGACGGCCTGGCGCCGCCGCGATCGGCTGGCTTCACCTTCCGGTGCACCGGCTCGATGCGCACCACGGCGGCGGCACCATGGCCGAGGCCGGAGTCGTAGCGGTGGCGCAGCAGCATCGTGACGGTGGCGAACACGACGAGCACGAGCCAGAGGCGGGAGCAGCAGCCGCCGCTCCGCCACCGCCTAGCCGCTCCACCACCCATCTTATCCACCTTGCTTCCGGTCTTCTCATCCCGCTCGCCGCCGTAGCTCACCGGCACCGGCACCTCCGCCGCGTTGTGCCGCTTCATGAGAGCATCAAAAGGAGAGCGTCGCCGCCGCCGCCGCCGCGGGCGTTGTCTTCTCCGGCGAGGCAAGATCGGTTGCCGACGAGTAGAACCTACTAGTGGTCACTGCTCAGTAGCTCACTGGCTGACTGGCTCACTCACTGCTCAGGTGGTCATGGACATGGTCAAACGCGACGTGGATCTCTAAGGGCGATTAGTGTACCACTCACACTAGGAATCTAGGATTAACCGAGCAAGGGGCATTAACTAGTCGGTGATGAGCTTAGGAATGCTCAAATAAACAAGACAGAAGTCCGGAACTCCGGATTTTGTGCAACCTGTTCCAAACCATTAAATGCACATTTAAGGCCCCTTTTATTCGCAAGGTAGAAAAAAAAAACAGAGAAATAGAAAAAACATAGAATTCTAACAGGAAGTGAAGTGTAAAACAGAGAATTACAAAACACAGGAAAAACACAGGAATGGTCGTTTAAAAGGAGCGCAGGAAAACGCATAAATCAGATGAGAGAGATAGACTCAAAGGAAATTTACTCAAAGAGGTTGGAGCTCTTGCTAAATTTTCTCCAAAATCCACATGCAATGTGTCATTCCATAGGAATTTCATAGGATTTGGAAAGCTTCAATCCTTTGAATCAAAAGCCAAATAGAAAAATTTTCTATAGAATTTGAATCATATAAAATTCTATATAAATCCTTTGATTCAAAGAGACCCTTAGATTTATGAATGCTAAGGTTTTTTTTAAAAAAAATTGGGCAATAACTAAGTGATGAAGAAATAGAGATTATGAGAGGATCTTAACGAGTAACGAAAGTTTTTTTTTTTATGAATGCTAAGTCATATTTTGGACTTTTGGCACTACGACGATCAATCGGGAAAGAAGGGGGAATCATTCGAGATACACACTGCAATATGTGAGGTTCATAAGCTAAAAAAAAAACTTAGGATGCGTTTGAATCAGATCATGAGCTGAGCTTTTTAACGACATGAAAAACAGACGAGTCATTACAATATAATTAGTTAAGGATCAACGATTACAAATTTAAAACGGACTGCTAAAAATATGTCGATATTTTTTTTGCCTAATCTCAGTCGGTTTTACCGTGCGTACGATTGCTCTACGTGACTACACGAGACTACATGTCTTAGGTTGTGCTTGTTCGGACCGTTCGATTTCTTCTCAAAATCATCTCCTATACTGCTCATGCTTTTGCTTTTTAACTTTTCCAATGTAGTAAGATTTAAATTTACACCCCACTTACACATGTAATTACTATATGTAATTTTGAGACTTGCATATAAAATTTTGGAACTTATACATTATAAATACACTAAATTTACATATATAATTTATGAACTTATAATGTAAATACATGTTAACTATTTTTTGTGAAAAATATGACACCATAAATATAGCTACTCTCATTTAAAAAATAAAATTATTTCAATTTTTTAAAGAAAACTTTTATATAAAAGAATATTTAAAAAGACGTACCGTTTATGCTTATAGAAAGTGAGATAGTAGCTCTGGTTACATATTGTATAGGAACGCTCTCTCTTTCCCTCTATGTGTCTTTTGTACCCGTTTTCTACTTTTTTTGTTTCATATTATTAAACGTTTTAGATTTTAAATACATTTCATATAAGTGATTAGATTTATATGTACGTAATTAATTTAGATGAGTGATGAAGATACCAAACCGTCTTAATGTATGGAGGAAGTAGTTTGTACCTCTTCACTGCACGTAATAGTCGACGTTGTTGAGCTGCACATAATTCAACGTTAAGGAACTCCGGTTAAGGAATAAGTTCACCGGAGATCCCTCAACTTAACATCGAGATTTTTTAAAGTCCCTTAACTACAAAATCAGAAATGTGTACCTCTAAACTTACACAAACCGTATACTCAAGTTTTTATGGCAGTATATATTGGTGGTTTTGTTGACGTGACATCCTAGTCAGCAAAAAAATAAATAAAATAGTACATGGGGCCCACATGTCAGCTGCCCTCTCCTCTTTTCTTCCTAAGCCGGCGTCAGCACAGACCTCCGTCGCTCCCTCGGTGCAGAGCGGAGAGCGCCGTGGCCATTGACGACCGCAACGGAGCATCAGCTTTCGCGGGAGGCGAAGGCAGGAGAGGGAGGGAGATGAGGCATTCACTCGAGTGCCCAGCCGTCGAGAAGTAGCCCGGGATGGTCGTGCCCGGCGGTGGCGGTGGCGGTAGCCCAGAAGGACAGGACCGGCGACCACAGGGGTCTCCACGGGGATGGTGCCGCTCGCCGGGTCGTCCAGCCGCCCGGTCATTGTTAGAAATTAATCTTGTTGTTTCTTAATTTCAGCATGTTTATCTATATGCATATGTGTGTGTTGCATGGTCTGGAGAGCTAGCTATATGTACGTGGGTGCTGCATGGCTTAGTGAGTAGTGGTTGGCAGTGAGTAGTGAGCCAATAAAGAGCCAGTAGATGAGAGCACATGTATGTAGCTTAGTTAGTTAGCCATGCATAATTATGGGCTAGTGATTAGCCGAGTCTTGCACAAGATTAGGAGTAGGAAGTGGTCAGTTTGCATGCATGCAGGTTAGTTGGTTGGTTCAAGCAACGAACGTCGGCGAAGACTCAGTACTTGTGAAGTTGCGGCCAAGTAAACGGGACGTGGGCGTCGTGTGTGGCTTGAGAAGCGGAACAACCAGCTTTGTGTATGTGCTGTGTTATAAATAGCTGCTCATTGTAATCATTTTGTTAAGAAGAAGAAAAGCAAGAGAAAAGGCACCAGTTGCGTGCTTGTGCCACAAATACTCAGTGTTCTGTGTTCTTCTTTCTTGTGCTCTTCACGCGTAAGTGTGATTTGTGTTCACTGTGTTCGCGTGAGTTGCTTTGATTCCCAACATTTGGTAGCGGTAGCGGTAGCGGCAGTGGCGCCGACGGCAGCGGCACTGATGGCGGCAACAATGGCGGCCAGCAGATCATCGTGCAGAGGGTGATGAAGGAGACGGCTGGCTCGGTGGTCTACCCCATGTTGACGCGCACCAACTACACCGACTGGGCTCTCGTCATGCGCGTGAACTTGCAGGCTCAAGGTTTGTGGTCGGCAATTGAGCCCGGCTACGCGGAGTACCAGGATGACAGGATGGCACTCTCCGCCATCCTCCGTGCCGTGCCGCCGGAGATGTTGCCGACTCTGGCGGTGAAGGATACGGCCAAGGAGGCGTGGGAGTCGGTGAAGACCATGCGCGTTGGTGTTGCGCGTGTGCGAGAAGCGAAGGCGCAGACCTTGCGGAATGAGTTCGAGTTGATCCGCATGAAGGAAAGTGAGTCTGTGGATGAATTCTCGATGAGGCTCAACGCCATCGTCAACAACCTCCGCATGCTCGGTGACCCACTGGAGGAGGAGAAGGTGGTGCAGAAATTTCTTCGTGTTGTTCCTTCTCGGTTCGTGCAGGTGGCCATTGCAATCGAGCAATTGCTTGATTTGAAGACGCTGTCCATCGAGGAGGTCACGGGGCGCCTCCGAACTGTGGAGGAGCGGTACAGGCCCGGTGACAATGATGGTGGCGTTGATGGCGGCCGCTTGCTCCTCACCGAAGAGCAGTGGCTGGAGCGTAGGAGAAATCGCAAGAAGAACGGCGACACGTTTGACAAGTCAAAGGTCCGTTGTTACAATTGCCAGGAGTATGGTCACTACTCTTGGGAGAAGAAGTGCCATGAAACAAAGAAGAACCATCAGGCGCACCTTGTGGTTGCGGATGCCGACGACGAGCCGACGCTGCTTTGAATCCAAGTGAGAAGGTGTCAAATAAAGACAACAAGATTAGGGGGTGATTGTTAGAAATTAATCTTGTTGTTTCTTAATTTCAGCATGTTTATCTATATGCATATGTGTGTGTTGCATGGTCTGGAGAGCTAGCTATATGTACGTGGGTGCTGCATGGCTTAGTGAGTAGTGGTTGGCAGTGAGTAGTGAGCCAATAAAGAGCCAGTAGATGAGAGCACATGTATGTAGCTTAGTTAGTTAGCCATGCATAATTATGGGCTAGTGATTAGCCGAGTCTTGCACAAGATTAGGAGTAGGAAGTGGTCAGTTTGCATGCATGCAGGTTAGTTGGTTGGTTCAAGCAACGAACGTCGGCGAAGACTCAGTACTTGTGAAGTTGCGGCCAAGTAAACGGGACGTGGGCGTCGTGTGTGGCTTGAGAAGCGGAACAACCAGCTTTGTGTATGTGCTGTGTTATAAATAGCTGCTCATTGTAATCATTTTGTTAACAAGAAGAAAAGCAAGAGAAAAGGCACCAGTTGCGTGCTTGTGCCACAAATACTTAGTGTTCTGTGTTCTTCTTTCTTGTGCTCTTCACGCGTAAGTGTGATTTGTGTCCACTGTGTTCGCGTGAGTTGCTTTGATTCCCAACATTTGGTAGCGGTAGCGGTAGCGGCAGTGGCGCCGACGGCAGCGGCACTGATGGCGGCAACAATGGCGGCCAGCAGATCATCGTGCAGAGGGTGATGAAGGAGACGGCTGGCTCAGTGGTCTACCCCATGTTGACGCGCACCAACTACACCGACTGGGCTCTCGTCATGCGCGTGAACTTGCAGGCTCAAGGTTTGTGGTCGGCAATTGAGCCCGGCTACGCGGAGTACCAGGATGACAGGATGGCACTCTCCGCCATCCTCCGTGCCGTGCCGCCGGAGATGTTGCCGACTCTGGCGGTGAAGGATACGGCCAAGGAGGCGTGGGAGTCGGTGAAGACCATGCGCGTTGGTGTTGCGCGTGTGCGAGAAGCGAAGGCGCAGACCTTGCGGAATGAGTTTGAGTTGATCCGCATGAAGGAAAGTGAGTCTGTGGATGACTTCTCGATGAGGCTCAACGCCATCGTCAACAACCTCCGCATGCTCGGTGACCCACTGGAGGAGGAGAAGGTGGTGCAGAAATTTCTTCGTGTTGTTCCTTCTCGGTTCGTGCAGGTGGCCATTGCAATCGAGCAATTGCTTGATTTGAAGACGCTGTCCATCGAGGAGGTCACGGGGCGCCTCCGAACTGTGGAGGAGCGGTACAGGCCCGGTGACAATGATGGTGGCGTTGATGGCGGCCGCTTGCTCCTCACCGAAGAGCAGTGGCTGGAGCGTAGGAGAAATCGCAAGAAGAACGGCGACACGTTTGACAAGTCGAAGGTCCGTTGTTACAATTGCCAGGA